ATTCACTCGTGAACTGTGGCACCTTTGTATGTATATATATATATATATACCAGGACCCTCCAACAGGTCACCACCTGCGACTTTTAAGTCTCCAAAAGCCACCAGAGGAGACCTGTTGGAGGGTTCTGGTATATATGTGTGTGTGTGTGTGTGTGTGGGTTGCATGTGTGCTGCAATAATTCATGTGTACTTCTTGCTCACCCCACTGATGTGGAAGGGCTTAGCGGCGCGGGCCGTCGGACAGTTCGCAAGTTTCTTTTAGCGGAGCTTAAAGCTGATACTCTTGGTATCTGGATATATCTGGATGTATGTGGGGTACACTCCCTGGAACTCACATGGTTACGTGGATGCCATGGCCCCTTGGAAGACCATGAAATCCACAACAAACAGGTGGTGAACACCACTTCACCTGAGTTCCAGGGAGAGTACTATCTGGGACCTGTACCTGTGTACCTTTTGGGACCCTACCAGGGTACGTATGGGATAGCCATAGGGTTCTTCAACCTCTGTTGGTCTCTCTCAGATGCTCCCAAGTTTCGGACCCCTCCAGGCCCAGCCGCAACTCGCCAGCTGCCAGGACCTCGGTCGGTCCAGCGTGAGGGACTGAGTGTCAAGGGTGCGCCAATGCGCCGGAGGAGTGGCAGTTTTCGGGCCGGATGAGTGCTGGGGTCGCTTGAAGAACCCTCACTATCCCTAGGGCTCCTGGCCCATCTCCTCAGGTTCGGTGGTTAGGCTCACCAAACCCACCCCAACCACCGAACCTCAGGAGGTGGGCCAGGAGCCCTAGGGTATATAGAAACACTCTAGAATCTCCATGGATTTGCTGTCCAGGAAGGAGCAATCTGAAGTTTCTGGGTCCTAGTACCCTGCAAGAAGGTACATCCAGACATATCCAGACTTTGTCGAGGAGCCCCGGTCTCACCCTGACTGGAAGATTAGATCATGGGTGTATGAGGAATTCATACCCCAAACATTCCCACACCATCCATGAAGCAGTGACATATTATACAGTATACAATTAGGTCAATGAATCAATTGGTATGTATACAAAATCAACTGAGCCGCTATCTATTAGGTGGGGAGCCGCATCTCATTCAGACTACTGTAGTAACAAATCACGAGAAATAACTCACATCAACTTTAAGTTCCAGTAAGTATTTCGTGTATGTAGGGGTCCTCTCGTTCACAAGCTGTTCTGTGGCAAACACATGTTGCACGTCACACACAGCTGCTTAAGCCAAAACAAATCAATAAAAAGGGAGTAACTAGAACACGGTGAAAGCAAACACTATACGAGAAGCTGGTCCTGTTTTCTGATCGGTTCATGCATTCCATCTATACTCCAGGATGGTTTCACATCTGGACGCCTCCTGAAAAAGGTCTCAATGCATACTAAGACCCTTAGCCCACTAAGACTTGCAAAGTCCAATCGCGTACAAAATGGTCTAGAGCTTCACTAAACAACCCCCGCCTTTCCGACCAACCCTTGGAATACCATCCAAGCCGCAAGCAAGGGTTTCAGACGCGAGAGGGACAAGGTCTTCATACCCAGCCTCAGTCTGCGACGCAACGGCGCCCGATCCCAAGGCCGGTTCTTCCATATATCGTTCGGATTTGCAGCTCCCAGGAACTGGGGAAAAAATACTCCCGATTTGGCAAGCCATGGCCATGGACCTCCACAAAATCGAACATCTACACTACCAGCTGCTTCCGAGCTTTGGGGCCACCAGACCCGACGACCCATCCCAGTATAGGGAGAAGGTCTGGTAAACGGGCAGCACACCCCCGACCGCCATAGACTATAGGATACCACTGATCGGTTCGGTCATTGGGACTGAAGAACACCCCCGTCGCGGGCACGACCCCCAACGACCCTTTTCGTTTCCACCATGGTCGTTCTTCGCAGCGGGTCGACGGCAGCGGGTCGGACACCGCTGGCAGGTTCCGCTGGCAGAGCGAGCGCTGATGGTTCCTCCGGTTCACCTCCTGGGCGTGTTCCACTGCCGCGGTGGTGTTGGGAGTAAGGCTGAGTAAGGAGTGGACAGCACGTGGAGTGGACAGCACGAAGCGGGGGGCTTCGAAGGCAATCACACCCTCCGTGGGTTCGGGGGCCGAAAACAGGGAAACATCCAACATCACCCTGATCAGCAAAACCATGAGCATGTGGACCCTTCAACGCGGAGAGTTACCCTAAGCCCTAAGCTCATCCTAGCGCTTCCTGCCGGTGTGCGCCCTGTCTGGAGACCCAATGGGTGACCTATATATAGGTATACTGTAGACTCGTCCAGCGAGGTGACCACATGTTCGTCCAGCCAGGTGGTAAGGTTCTGTCTCAATCAAACTGAAGCAGAAGAAGGAATGCAAGTTTCGAGGATCCCTGCAGTAGGAGGTCAACAATCATGATCATGAATCATGATGATTCGACATGTTTCAGTTGGACCAACAAAATGAAGGCTGGAAAACCAGATGCACGTGCATACATACGTGCATACGCACATTTCCAGGAATTTCACTGCAGCCCACAGCAGCAAAGGCATACAGCACACACTATTGCGCCACATGCGCGGGATTGTGCGGGCCAGGCGCAAGAGCTTCAACGCCCAAATGGCCATCTTCTCATACGCCAAGGCATGGGATGGATGACCCAAGAGTGGAAGAAGTAAGGCATCATGAAATCCTGACCGGATGGAGGGAGTGAATGAGTGAGCGAAGCGAGTGGCCCACGCGGACTCCCTTGAGCTGGAAGTAAGAGTTGCAACTGGGTCCCAATTACTTCATTCGGAAGCTTCCCGGTCCCTTTAGCTTTGGTATTCAAAAGGCATTAGGTTGGCTATTGGAAAAGCAGAATGAAAACGAACAGCTCAAGCGTGGACACGATCACCCAGCGCTATCGCAGACCTGCTCAGGTTGGGGTCTCAAGTGGAGTTCCCCTTTACAAAAAGGCCCAAACGGTGCAAACAAAATCCATAATTAATATTTCGATTTCGATATATTTCGTCTCTTTCTCTTCTCTTCTCTTCTCTTCTCTCATGTTTTCATCCGACTCATCCGACTCATCCGTCTTTCTCGTCTGACTGATCTTGACGTATCGCCGCGCCGAACACGGAGTCCCAAGGACCCTCGAACATCGGTCGGAACTTCTGCCTCCCGGCCCCGCCCCCAGTCCTTTCGCCCCGAAAGGGAACACCACCGTGTCGACGGACGACGAGTCGATGGAGTGTTCACCGGTGGAGGCCGGGAACGAAGCTCCACTAAGCCCTAGGGATCCACTGCCACCGAACCTCAGGAGGTACGACTGGGCCCTCCTGGCGCCTACATAAATAGTCTCCAAGCACCGTACCTGAGAAGGTACTTGGATCCCTAGGGAAGCCATGATAGATTTCAGTGAGTGGAAGGGCAGTGTCGACCAACACTCTCGATATCTGGTTCCATCCATGAAAAATTGGATAGAAAGGGGATTCATGAAGTGCTCATGGTGAAAAAAAAACATCACCCTAAGCCCTAAGCAACAGGATTAAGTGTCAAGCCCCTTCTGGCACCCAGGTCTCCTGCTACTTCCACGCTCTGCACGAGGCCCGGCGAAACTGCTGCCAGAGCCGATGCGTCGTCGCACAAGGCGTCCAGTTCGCCAGCCACGAGGAGCACCGGACTTGAGCCTGGGTGAGCAATGCCGTAAGAAGATTCATCCAGGAAGATTCATCCAGGCATTCCTCTTTGGTTAACATGTAGATACTTTTCACAACCCCATGTAATTACCCATGTAATTGTGTCCAAAAGAATTGGGTTTGTATTTTTGTAGGGACCCCCCCCCCACTGACTGATGGGTTGTGGTCAATGTTCCTTCTTCGAAGGGGATTCTAGGGGGTTTTCTAGTCCAATACCCGCCCAATTCTTTCCCACAGTCTTGTTATACTGTATATTTCCTGTTGTGCCTTCCATGCAACACCAAGAAACAATTCCAATCGATGTGGTTCGATGTTCTGCAGTAATAAAGTAACCCCTTGAGGCACCCCAAATCATCCAAGCAAGAAAAAAAATAGACAACATCGCAGTTACTTGGGGGCTCTCCCTATTACGATACTTCATTCTTGACATGCCTTGGCCTTGACCCCTTTGAGCATCCTAACGCATCAAGGTACATCTTCCGGTTCCAGTGGTGCCAGCACACTCTTCATGCCTTTTCCGCGTTCCAACCAGTTCTCTCGAAGAAAAGGGCCACCAAAAGCTGAGAGAACCATCTGAAACTATCCCAAAGTTTCATATATATATATAGAGAGAGAGAGAGAGACATATAACATATAATAAACACATATATATATATATATATACATATTATAAGTATATTATAAACATTAATGGGTTTCACATGGTTGGGCTGTCCACGATCCTTGCTCCCAAAAGGATCTGCCTGCTGCCCTGCGACCACCTGTTTGCTGCAGCTTTGACAGCTTCAAGCGTTGGAGCTCAGTCAGCTGGGTGAGAGAGAACTTCCTGGCTAACCTTGGAGTTGCAGGTTTCAGTCCGAAAAAATGATCAACAAGTAGTGTAGAGCCTCCATCTGGTACTTATTCACCTTATTGATTCACACCACTTCAGTGTTCAATAATAACGCCTGGTGCAATTTTGCGCCAATCCGGGATGCAGGGACGGGTATTAATGGGCTGAGGAAAATTGATGGACCATCAGTTTCAGGGTAAAGACTTTTTGAGAAAACTAGGCAAACCCAACCAAACCATGGCAAATCCCTGCTTTTCCTTCCAGTGGCTTGAAACCTGTTTACCGTACCTGGGTGCCACTGCTGAGCGAGCGTTTTTGATGCGCAGTATGCGGCTCCGCTGCTCCATCTCCTTTTGCGGTTTGGAAGGATCTTGGCATTGTTCAAGTCAAGCAAAGCCCTCACGCTGACAAGAATGGTACGTACCTGAACCAACCAATGGGTGTCCAATGCAAACCACTCCATATAAGCTAGTGTATGTATGTGTACGTAGGGTAGTCCGGACACCCAAACTGGACTGGACGGTCCTGGTATTCTGGATTAAAAGGCATCCCTTGCACAACACATCGCCAAACATCCCACCGGTTCGCCGGCCACCCAAAGTAACTCCAGGCCCTTGCTCGGTGATGAAGAAAGCCGCTGTAGAAAGCGCTCTCGACCCACCTATGGAACGAAAACACATGTGGATGCCGGTCATCTCAAGGAAGTGGAAAACTAACAAGCCTGGATCGTTCTGTTTGGATGACCTGGAATGGATGACCCAACCTAGGACCCAGTCAATGTCTTCAACATTGAGCGTGTGATTCGTGTTCAAGGCTGGCTGTTTTTGGTATTTGTGGAGTTGCTTTGGGGCTCACTGTAAGAAGTATAGTTCACAGGTAAATGCAGGTTTGGAAAATGGTCCTTTGCATGCAGGTGTGTGTTTGACGCTAGGGAGGTCCCCCAAAGACCTCTTAGAAAGCGCAACAGTAGGCTAAAACCCATGGGAGCAGGGAGGTCTCACCAACATGTCAAACAAGCACCCACGCACCAACCTGTAATTGTTACACTATGTTACACTCCGACTCACCAACATGGAAGTGGAAAACCTCCTGATTGTAAAGGAACAAGTAGTCTTCCAAGGGGTCATGCCATCCACGTAACCATGTGATGTGTTCGTCAGAGAGTAAGCTGTTCGCATCGTTCACCATCCCAATCGCATCGTTGGCCCCACGGGCCTGAAGCCAGCTGGGGGAGAGGAAGCAAAAGGATCCTGGGAGGGGAGGTCGTGCAAGGTATCCGTGGTGGATCTCAGATCTCGCGGTTTCTATCAGGAAAATCGACATTTTGTATCAGGAGGGCATTTCATTGTGACTAGCAGGCGTTGAAACCCACAATGACTCACAATGACCAAAGAGCATGGTCAAGGCACCCGTAGATTACCAAAGAACACACCTTTCCACCTGCATTGGCACCTTTAGGTGGTCCCAAAAATTCAATGTGCATGATCCCTTTTCTTGTTGTTGCTGACCATTTCGGACCATGTGGCATTGCACATTGGGCTCAGAAGGCACAAAGAATCGCCATGTCGGGAAACCCACAGGTTGTGCCGCTGAAAGATTCTATATACTTATAAAATGAGGTGATGGTCGAGCGCACACTGGGAGCAAAGACCATGAAGGTACAAAACATGTTGAATCCAACGAACTCGGGGCGAGGAAAAATGTCGGCAGAATCTTATATTATCACCTTAACCAACCAAAACTGAAACCTTGCCTTCTTCCGCCACAGATCTGGGTTGAGGATGTTCGAGATTGCTGGAGGCTGACCGGACTTAAGGCCCTTGGTCTTAGGAAGTCTTGGTAGCCTAATTGGAGGCATCCTAAGAACTGACAAAAGTTCGTGAACGCAAAATGTGGGATGCTTGCAGCATACGTTTTATCATCATGGCGCTTACCCCTGGTGCAGCCCTTTTGCCTTGCCTGAACGAAAACTAAAACCCAAAGTTCGACCTCAGCAATGTGCGCGTGGCAAAGCACACGGCAGACTTGGTAGAGTTGCCGCTTATCGGCGGGCCTCTCGGTCACGCTTCAGTGCGTTCTCATCGACCGTGCGCCACTCTTCGCCAGGGAGCAAAGAATGCGTGTCAGGTGCATTCGCCAGCTGGAACTCGTACCCACCTGTTTGCCGCTGCGACCCCTGGGTGCACTTGGAAATACTGGGTCTGCAAAGGCCAAGTTCACGTGCGGCACTTGTCATTGATTCATGCCACATCCATTCGCTGTCGGACCCAAGAAGCCAGCTCCAAACAGGCTTTGCTGCAGTTCCACGACCAAGCAAGGATGATGCATGAAAATGAGCGACATTTTCTGCTTGAGAGACCCACTCCAGATTGTACACAGCATTATTGGTTTTGTCTAAATCTTTGTGGTTCACAAATGCTTGATGATTGGAAGGCGGTGGCCCAAGAAAAGCAAATGCTACCAATCGATGAACATAGGAAGTCTGGCTTTGTACCCGTGTCGTGTAGTATCCCTGTCGAGTCAAGTGCCCCCTGCTTATCAACCCAGTCCGTGCTGTTGTGCGGCCCAACGAACTTACCATCCTTGTTGGCACTTGTAAGCCCGAACTGGGATTGACCATTGGTCGCCATTCTTCTTTAGGCAAGGTTTGCTCACTGAGATTTAGCAGTCTAAATTCGCAGCCTCCGGCTGTGCAGTTCTTGCGGCAACATACTGACACTGTAGATTGGTGCAAGCCAAGCTGCTGAGCTGCCGCTTTAGAAGAAGGGCTTGTCGTCCAGTTCTTGCACCCGACAGGTCTCCACAGCACCGGTTTTGATTGCGCAGGCCCAGAGTTGCGTCTGGACGGGCTGGAGTATGAGTGGCGCACGTTTTCACTCTGCGTCGCGTACTCCAGGTTGTCCAAACGGTTGTTGGCTCGGTCGCCATCAATGTGATGCACTTGCCATGCTTCGTCGGATTTGGGAAGTCCATCAAATGTGATCTTAACAATCCGATGAACCTTCCACACCTGCCCAAGCATGTTAACAATCTTGTATCCGTCTGGATGGAGGGATCCAAAAGATATGCTGACTCTGGAATTGCAGATTCGACCATGCGAACTCACCCTCCAACCTTGGCGGCTTGGGATTGGCTGGCCTGTGAAGAACCGCAACACAGCTGTCTTCCAAACACCATTGCGATGGATACCTCGCCATGTTGGCAAGATGCGAACTGTCCAACTTTGGAACTTCTTCGCGAACATCACGACGACACGTATTTCTTGGTGTTTAGCTATAATGGTATATATATAGTATGTCAGCAAAAGTTTTGGATGGCCATGCGGGTTTTGGAAGGATTATCCGACTAGAATCAGAATCATTGTAAAAGCTACTCAGTAGCCAATGTGCCAAAAAAGGTTGCTACTGCTGCACGGAAAGTTCGCTACCGCCATCCAACCTCTGCAGGCTGCCACGTGCATGACATTCCATGACTCCAGGCAGTCAGCTTTTCTCCAAGCAACGAAGCCCACGGATTTCTCTGTCTCTCTGGAGGAGAACCTCATCGACTGTGCGCCATTCTTCGCCCGGGAGACAAGAAACCATGTCCGGGACATCTGCCAGTTGGAACTCAAATCCACTGGTTTGCCGCAGTTGTCCCCGGGTGCACTTGGAAACGGAGCGCCAGCCAACCCCCAGTTCATTAGCTGCACTTACCAACGATCGATGCCACCTCCAATCGTCACATGTTCCTTGAAGCCGGCTCCACACAGGCTTTGCAGTCGTCCCACGCCCAGGTGTAGATGTCGCGTAGAAATGAGCAACATTTTCTGCATGGGAGACCCACTCCAGATTATAAGCAGCATTGTTCCCTTTGTTGAGGTCCTTGTGGTTCACATATGTTTTCTGATCTGAAGGCGGTGGCCCGAGAAATGCAAAAGCCACCAGGCGATGAACAAGCGCATGATAGCGGAGTGGACTGGCAAGTAGTTCTGTTCTGTAGTATCCTGCTCGGGTCAGGTGGCCTCTGCTTGTCAACCCAGTCCGCGATGATATGCGGCCAAGTGAACTCACCAACCTTCCTGACACATGTGCACCTGACACTGGATGAAGCATTGGCCTCCACTCTTCTCCTGGCAAAGCGTGCTGACAAACGTCTTCTTGGCACTTGAATGTGTAGCCTTTTGCCGCAGACTGGATGTGACTGCACCTTGACACAGTTCTCCTGCTGATGCCAAGCTGCTGAGCAGCTGCTGTGATAGAAGGGCTTGTTGTCCAGTTCGCAGACCCAACAGGTCTCCACAACACAGCCTTCGACTGTGCAGGCCCACAAGTGCCCCTTGAAGGATTGGAGTACGAGTGCCGCACGTTTTCACTGGGGGTTACGTACTCCAAATTGTCTAAGCAATTGTTGGTTTGGTCACCATCCAGGTGATGGACTTGCCAGGCTTCCTCAGTTTGGGGAAGCCCATGAAAGGTGATCTTGATTATACGATGAACCTTCCACGTCTGTCCGCGGATCTGAGCAGTATGGTAGCCGCTAGGATGGAGAGACCCCAGGGAAATGACTCCTCTCGTGTTGCAAATTCTGCCATGCGAGCTGACCTGCCAGCACCCTCTCTGATGTTGAAGCGGCTGGCTGGTGAAGTATCGCAGTGCACTTGACCCAGCGCAACACGTCCCACATGATGCTCGCCATGCTGTCAGCATTGGAACTTTACTGAGGTGCAAAATGTCAAACTGAGGACTTCATACCTACATGCAACACAACACCCGAGTCCTCATTCAAAAACTGTGAAGATTGACCTGTTTGCAAAACCACACGAGGCTCCCAGGAAAACACTTCAATTCAAACTCTTTGGATAAATATACCTAACTTGGACTAGAAGTTGTGTAAAGCGAGTTCGTCAATGCGCTCCGTTGGAGGCTGAATAGGGCCAAATAGCAAGAGGTTCTTCCCCCTAAGCCGGCTCAGCTGGTGAGTGATCCCACAGTTCATCGATCAAGCGAAACATACCAAAAATAACTGCACACCTCGCATCGTCAAAAAATTGTGGCTTTCAGGCTGATGATATACCTCCCAACAAGTTTGGGTTTAAACAAACCTCTTTGCCGGCTACCCTTCCACAAGCTGAAATCAATAGAAACTGGCCCATGCCAAAACCCCATAAGCAAATGTAGGATGTCGGAGATGTTCCGGCTCCATTTCCTGAAAATAGCATTGGTAAGCAACACTATATTCCACCATGCGGGACCTTGAGCACATCTTAACGGGATACACTCATTTGAGGATTATTTTTGGGAGTGCAAAGCTTCACCATCTGCAGGCCTCTGCTTTTCGGGCGCAGAAAGTCCCCAGATTGGAATGATCCCAAATTGTCGGGCAAGATTCGACATCCTTCAGAGGAAAGAAACAAATTTAACTCCCTCTCTTCCCCTCCTCTCTCTCTCTCTCTCTCTCTCTCTTTTTGGTTCTTTCCGTGTCTGTCCATCGAAAGACACATTCTCTTTTGGAATGTGGCTTGGGTGGGGGGTGTCTTGTTATATAATCTCAACTGGTCGAACTCAAACTGTTGATTTCGCATGTAGCGACTGGTGATCCGGCAGAACCCTACGACCATCTTCTTTTCTGACTACACTTGAGAGAGGAGGGGCGAAAGGTAGCAGGCAATCACAAGTAACCCTGGTAGAAGTCCATGACAGCGTGAACCGGCGCAGGGTGGATTTGATCCAGGGCCCCCCCCCCGACAAACAGAATCATCTCTTACAGGACCAAACTCAATGCACAATCCCAACTCCTGATTGTAATACATTTTTGCTAAAGCAAGGAGAGCTCAGGTAGCTCAAGCTACCTTTCGTGACTTACCTACATTGCCCTACACCTCCAAGTACCTCCTCAAAGGGCTTTGGAGCGCTGGATCGGTCCCTGCCGGACGTGAGGACTCTGAAGCCTGGGATCGGTTCCTTTGCAAAGATGGCGCTGAGAGTGCCAAATCCAGCCAAGGACAAATGGCCAGTGCGCCCACAACACCTGGCAACATCTGGCAACAGAGTTTGGGATTTTCGGCTTGAACAAAAGCGTGCTTTACTTCGGCCACCATGACATGAAAATATCCAGATGAGAACCGACAGCTATCAACATCACCAAGAAAATGCTGATCTTGCATGTATAGACTGGAATTCTATCTGGCAAACATTCTGGCATTCTATTTGGCATACTGGCATTCTGTCTGGCATACCGTTATGGCATTCCATCTTGCATCAATTCTGGCATTCTATGGCATAGTTGCCGACAATCTTTCGGGCATTCTTTCTATGTGGTTCAGGTCTGGTGGTGCCGACTGTGATCGAGCACTCGCAGTTGAGGTCCGGTGGTGCCCACTGCAATGTAGCGCTCGGAGGAGCAGGAGAAGGAGGAGTGGACAGCTCCGAACATAGATCTAATAACCCTCACCTGGCTGGTGGGGAACAAACACGGAAAGGGCACATCCCCAGAAATCGCAGAATTTCTTTTGAAATGGGCCTCAAAGCTGAACGATCCAAAACCCACAGTCCAAATTAGTGGCAGGGTACAGTCGGACCGTTGCTAATGTTTGGTGGCTTCAACTCACTAGATTCTAGAATTTAAGTCAGTGGGATCAATAATTTCAAGAACATGTTGAATACTTGAAACAAGTACATCTGGCTCCACCCAGATCAGTGTTACACCCACCTGGGAGAACGTGGTCTTCCATGTGCGCGTGCCCACGCGCCCGCGGTGCCTTCGCTGCCTTCGAGCAACGCTCGCAGCGACAGGTAGCCGCCAGCAGAGTCACCGGCCAAAATGACCTTCTCGTAGCCTGACCCGCCAATGATGTACTTGAGAAAAGAAGAGGGGGGGTCGGTTTGGTAAGAATAAAGGGGTGAGTGCCTGGTACCATACATATTTCATCATGTTTCTACACATATATACTTGGGGGTCGGTTTGGTAATAATAGAGGGGTGAGTCCCTGGCAGCCATCCGCCAGTTGTCGTTTTGTGGGTTTCTGGTGTGCGGCGACACAAATTGGACCACGGTGCCCGCACCGTTACAGAGGTTGTCTGTAGAGTGAAGCGTTGAAATGCCAAAGGGTCGAACAAGCCAAGCAACCGATCACCAACCTAATTTGCAAGCCAAACAAACAAACTGAACCACGACACCAGAAAGCAACAAAGGAAGCTGGTGGTCCTCGTGCCATATAGTGTGGTGGAGTCCTTCTCATGGTGGGGTGAGGCCAAACAAGCAACCTCATACAACAAACAATCGATGTCATCTACCTGGTATCTACGCTCTGCACTGAGCGAAAGCAGCGGACAATCAAACACGTGAATAACACTCTGACTGCACAATAAGCAAAAATATTCTAACAACAACAACTGACTACAGTACCATCATACCAAATCATACCTCTTGAACAAAAGTGTGGTTTCCCTCCAACCGTACCTGAAACCTAAGCTTTCTAGATCATTTACGAACCAGCCTGCTCCTCCAACCTGCCCGCAGCCTTCATTCCGCAGGTACCGCAAGGCATCTTGGACTTGTACAAGCGTGGTGTCGGCATCAGCGGGCAAGGTGTATCTCAGTTCCTAGGCCAGCTGGCCAGCCACGAGCCAACAAGCCATTGGTTTTTTGTTCCGACCGAGTCGTCTTGGTGGATCGGTATATCTGTCCATCTATGGTACTGTACGCCGTAGATGGTACTAGTACCAACCATTCTGAGTCAAGTTCTCAATCTATAGATGATACGGCAAACAAGTTCTACGATCTATAGGAGATCTGTTAAATGCGATGCTCAACAATGTGGTCTTCCATGCCCGCCTTCTCTTGCAGCGGGTCCAAAACACTTAGCTCCCACACCGTTCGAGTCAGGATTGCGGACCCACGTTGGAGCCCCTCACAAGTAGCAAAAAAAGACTTGGTACATCTTGGTACAGTTTCTCCAACTTTGGACATGTCAATGTCAATGATTGTGCACGAACAACTTGTAAACCTATGCCAAACTCATTAAGTAACCTTTCAAATCAATCAATGTTGGAAGATCAAGCATGGTCACATCAGCCCAAGCCACCAGAATCCCTGGAAGTCGCGGAAGTTCCGCGGCCAAGAGCGCGCTCCAGATGCGCTGAGCAAAGATGGGACACGTGGGGACACGAAGGAGAAAGGCCCCGCCTGGAAGCCACAAGATGGCCGACCTCGGTGGCAGAACCCCATCCAAAGGACACTGCGACATCCATTTGGTTTCGACATGTGTCGATCATCTGCCTCTTATACATTCTCCCTAGAACTCAAGTCGACCATGTTTGACATGGGAACGATCTGGTTTTGTAGTGCAAAACCCTTAGTGAAACAATTGTTGTTCGGGTATAGGCTATTAAAACAATGGTGGTTCGACTTCTAGGGTTGTATAAAGTTGTTTTGGAAGGGGTCCAGAATAAGGATCTACACATCTCATCTGGGGCGGAGTCCGTGGAAGAGCTTCTTGGTGAAGCACCAATGGTCTTCATTCAAAGCACCCTCTTGCAAAGGACCACCAGGTGACCACCATGGACCCCCAAAACCGGTGGGATGTACACTCTGACTCACTAACATGGAAGTGGAAAGCATTGGAAAGCCCACTGTTGTCATAGAGGAAACTAGTCTTCCTTTCGGGACCATGCCATCCACGTAACCATGTGATGTGTGAAGTCAGAGGGGAGAGGGAAAATGGTCCAACTTCCCAGGGGTCCTTGGAACCAATTCCCAGGGGTACGGAACAACCGTCTGCAGGGAGGTAGGCCATGCGGTCTGCCAGTCTCCTGGATCGCTGGTACTCCGAAAAAAGCTCCCCACCTGCACCTGAAAAGCCCAAGGGTTGGAAGGGTCAAGGGGTGGCGCAGGCTGCAGGCTGCAGAACCCAACAAAGGTGGGTTGAAGAACCCGACACCCTTCGACCATCCCAGTCTGGTACCCCTATATAGTCCTATAGGGTCATTTAACCTCTGTTGGTACCTGCTACTGGTCGAGGCGTTTTTGTTGGGCTGTGCATCCCCTCGGCAAAGGAACGAAAAAACATTTGAGTGTGTTCAAAGGGTCTGCGATGGTTGTACCTGGAATAAGCCTATACGCAACACAGCCATAGCAACAAAATCATGAAACATATCTGAGAGGATCTGAAATAGTTGATCCCAAGTCCTCTTCTGGATTATTTGAGACTGAGCGATAAATAAAGGTAGAACATATCCTCTCTGAGAGGATTGAATGGGGCTGGGGGGCTTGGGGATTGGGGGGGGGCTCCTTTTCCGTCACTTGGATATCTGATACCACCAGCCAGGATGTATGTCTAAGACTTCCAATATATCGGCCCCATAAATTTCTTCAAAGCCCCTTCACCCACGAGGCGACATCGCGACTGTCTGCTGTGGTAGGAAAAAACGGGGCGCCTGTGTGGTAGGAAAAGATATGAGTCAATAGGGCCATTTGTCCGTGGACCGCTCATTGCTTGCGTGAAACCGTCTAGAACGGCACCTCTAGTAAACTCCATCTAGCACCTCTTGCCAGCAGTGCTGAAACGAAGCCGAACGAGATGTTGGCAATGAGATTGGCCCATCCCTCCCCGCTTCCATTGGCCTTCCCTCCGCCGCCGCGTTCCATCCGCCTGGGGTCCACCTCGCAGCGCCGCAGAGACCACCACCGCGCAGAGCAGGTCGCGCCCTCGAGGCGCGCGTCGAAACATCGGAGGCCTGAGGCACGTGCCGCCAGTCCTGTCGAGTGAGGGAAGCCACCAAGAGAGGTAGCCAGTGACCAGGTCACTAGGACCCGGAAAACCTGGGGTACCCAACTGGGATAGTCTATAGGGTACTATAGGGTGCTTCAATATAGGATAGTCTAGTTCGGATGCTTCAACCTCTTCTGGGTGGACAGCGCTGTTCAAAAAGCATCAATGCCCCCTGGCAGTGTGGTTTTCTTTTGGAACCAAAACGGGGACACTCCCTGGAATTGTCATGGAAGTGGATGGCATGGCCCTGTGGATGACCTCTTTCCTAGTGGTCTCTTTGGGATTTGGTTAACAACAAATAACATCAAATAACTACCGAGGTACGCGATATCCAATTCACTTTTTCAGAGTGGCTGGATGAGTGATAGGTCCTGTCTCACAACTAACCAGTGATAGGTCCTCAAATAAATGACCGTGGCACGTGTCCAAAACATGCTCTACGTGGGGATCTACAAACTTCTATCTATGACAGGGGGTGTGGTATATATCTTTTACCGACTGTTGCAGGTGAGGGTCCAAAGAAGTCCTCCATAGAAGTCGCTCGTTTCATTGCTTAAAATGAAACCGAACATGGCAAAGCTTCACCCATTCTTCACGACCGGCTTCACGCTGGGCATGGCTGGGCACAGGAGAGGTCTCGGTAGTAAACCCAAGACTCCCGAGCCGTTTCCCTGGAAAAGAACACCCACCATATATGCCTACATTGACCACCAAAACCACCCCAACTGATCGGCATATATGGCAGTCCGTTGATGATCTCGTGTCTGGGTGATCTTCTCGTTCGGGAAACCAATGCCCTCCAACAAGGCTAACCAGGTGATCCACTCTTCCGCCCTCTGGTCTCCGTGGCGCGGTTGCGCGGTGGGTTTTTCCATATGACTTACTTGGGCGGTTTTGGACGGAGCTCCACTCGAACCTGATCCAGTGCATTGGTTACGGTACGTCCAGGAGACGGAACAACAAAGAAAAAACAACGATTTAGGCTCAAGGGTGCCATTGGTTTAGGTATCAGTGATGATTGGCTAGAAACCATCCACATCCCAACAACTTGAGTAGAACCTCTAGTAGAACCCCAGCAAAACACGTTGAGCACACCAGTCAATTCAAATGTCCCAAGCAATCACAGGTTCTTCATGACTCAGAACTGCTTCGCAAAGATCAGGGACCCAAAAAACACTCTCCACCCTTCGAAAGAACAAACCTAGCTCCATCAGCCCCTGGCACGACCCTCGACCCCTCACTCCTAGCAGCGGCTCAGCCAAGCGAATCAAGATCTGCCTGGAAAGCATGGAACCATATGGAACCCGTGAGGTTCTCTGCTGCGAAAGGACACATTCTGTCTAGCACATGTGTAATGGAATTCCTATCCAGGAACCGACCAACAATCCAACAAAACCTGGGAAATCCTGGATGCAACATTTATATGTTTTAAAGACTATGCATCAATAAAGCCAGCCAAAAGGTAAACAGCTTGCATATATTGGAAGATCTCAAGACAGATCCTTTTCAAGCAGAGTCCATCCATGTATGGAATTTTCATGTACGTATATGCCTAGATTGACCCGTGAAACCACCCCAAATGCATGTCAATATGGCATCCCATGGAGTGTTGGGTAGTCAGGTAGTTGATCTTGACCCACATGAGCCACTAACATGAGGATTCTAAATCAAAGATGGGAAAGTGTGAGATCTCAAGGCCTGGGCCTACGCGCTTTTTTTGCGCATTGTAGAACCGGTTTGTTTTGAGGCCTACTGGTATTGGCCAGGATCACCCCAGGTTTGCACAGAGATACTGCCTTGCATGCAATAATGTTCAGGGGTTATATAGGTACAAATATTATACATTGTATATATATATATTACTATACATTCAGTATTTGCCTTTCCCTTACAATGCTCAGCAAACCACCCAACAACCAAAAACAATAAGAATCCACCACAATATGCCCGACTTCTTCGACATGACTTCTTCGCCTTCATCATTCTGACCATCCAAACAACCTTTTACAGAGCATCTCAATGAACGGGTTTCAGGGAGCATCTGCAGGAAATCCATAGTTTTGGTGGTGAAAACCATTGGTCTCTGCAGGCTTTCCCTGAAACCAATTCTCGGAGCATCTGATCTGCTTGGACCACCTAGCGTCTCTTGCCCAAATCAAAGACCCAAACAATCATGATGCACGTAGGCACACAGCGAGAAAAAGCTTGGCATCTTCACTGGCAGGTTGCTGCCGGTTTGCTGTGAGTGCGGCAGGATTCCAAGAACTACCAATATGTAACTGTAACTATATATATATAAATATACACACCAGCTAGACCATCCAAGACATGTCCAACGGAAATCCATACAGTAGATTGGCGTGGGTAATCCAATCCAGCTCGTCGACACCATGGATGGTCCAGGGACGTTTCTATGACCACCTACCCACACGAATGAGGAATCCAAGCTTTACAAAACAACATGCAGCCAGCTGATTCTCCAGTGATGTAGATACCTTCGGATCACACGGAAAAAAACATTATTCCCGTGGGTTGGCCGATGTGGGCCTCCGTAGCGGTGCAGTTAGCACCGGAAAAGGGGCATCACTTGACAATGGACATCTTCCAATGCTGGCCAAAATGCAGCACCTGGGTGTATTGCTCCTGACAGCTGCCAAAACACATCAATGAAGTCTGTTTTGGATGCGTGTCAGGCACCCCAAATTGTGTTCATTCGATGGAACATCAAGCCTCTATCAAGCAAATGATTGTGTTTTTTGCTGATTGCAACTGGACTCCACCTCTTCCAAAATGACACCTTCTAAGCTGCAGTATATAGTATAGTGAACACGAGCCGAATCCATATGCATAGATCCATTTCTTCGATGAAAGGACAACAGCAAAGTAAGAGGTGTCCAGCGTGCGGCATTTCCTTTCTAAGGGGGAAACCACTCGGCACATGTTTTGAGTCGGGCTGAGTCGGTGCGTTTGAGTGAGAGTGGATCGTGGGCATCCCATTCCTCTGACCAGGCCGCTGGTGGTAGATGACATGACCATCGACTCCTAGATGCTAGATGGATGCATGTGCACGATGTGTTTCATTGTGTTTCAACATGTTTCAACGGAGTTGGGCGCCGGCTTTCGCACATCGACCAACATCTGCTTTGGACCCTCCTCTCATCTGCATCTTCCACTAAATCCACCCATCACACCCCATCACAAGCTAAGAAGTCGTACTCATTACTTGTCCGGAGTTTGGAGTAGTACTACCCCCACTGGGACAACATCCAGTTCCTCTGCCCCACACCATCCGGGGAATTCACTCAGTTCAATCAACATCCACCAAAAACAGGCCCGAAACCGAGGGGTTCGTCTCGTTCTGTGTACCGAATCAATCTAACACCATCCAGGGAACATCCAAAAGGAAACGGACCGATCAAAACCACGGTCCGCCCGTGGTGACCGCAGAGTGAGGTGGCGTGGCGCATCAGGCGTCG